TTAAGTCATTGTTATAGAGGAAATGGCAAAAAATAAAGCAATGAAAGGGAGTGTAGAATGTAACCAAAGGTTATTGTTAGACAAGTCTATGTATAGTTAATCATACTTTTTCAACATTTATATATATTTAGAAATTAAATATCATACTAAAAAAATAATATAAATAAAAATATGAAATCTCATAGCATAAGGATGTATTTTTGTTAAAACATATGATAGAGCGACTCGTCTAACGGTTAATTTGGCTTTTATAAAAAATTGTGAAGTTGTAATTGTAGAATGGGTTTAAAGAATATTTTAGGAATCACGTGAATAAAATAATGGCATAATTGCTCATAAACCCATGTCCTTTTATAGAATTGCAAAAAAATCTCAATCTTTTCAATGTTGTCATTAAATGCCTAACATTTTCTATTTGTTACATGTGAAGCTTCAATTGGCTTTCCAACCGTCGCCGTGCTGATCTGTTCGGCTAGAAAGCTTACATGGATTTTTAAGTTTAAAATACATATACCTACCAGAGTTCAAATAAAATTCTTGTGAAAACTAATTTCTTCCACAATCTCCAATTCTCCATTTCTTTACAGATGAATGCAATTATTTAAAGATGCATATAATTATTCAAAATGCTTCGAGTACATGCCAATTTAGAATGTGAAAAAATTCAATTTAGAAAATTCACCAATTTCCCAAATCTCACTGCAAAGAATGTTAAAATCCAGAAACCCTAGGCTTGGGTCTCTTCCAGCTTAACCAGTGGTCTCGTGTTCGAGCCCTGAGAATGCAGCAGTGTTAAAACTCTTGAGGGAGAGCTTTGCCACCCTTGTGGTCCTACCCGGCTCGATTCCGGATTAGTCGGTTCCCATGTGGATCCGAAAACCGGAAGGTCCCTGTACCAAAAAAAAAAAAATCCAGAAACCCTATTTCAGCTTCACATGCAACAAATAGAAAAAGTTGAGCATTAATGGCAACACTAAAAATGTTGAAATTCTTTTACAATTCAATAAAAAGTTGAGATTTTTTAAGCAATTAAGCCTAAAATAATTAATGAAGTTAAGGAAATTGAAATAGAACTTACTAAATCTTTCCCAAACTTGACCCGTGTAGTTGCAGCCCAATAACGAATGTCCATATATTGGCCCATACAGCCATATTTGGCCCATAACCCAAAGCCCATTAAAACTGGGAACCAGAATTTTCAAGTGCTACTGGTTAACGGGCTCTTCCTGTTGGCTGGTTAAGTTGATTATCTCTGAAGTTTCACGTCAGATTTATTCAACAATTCCAATTTTAAACTAGAGTTTCTAATTTTTTAGTAAAAGATGCAATTTTTTTTTTTCTTTTTTTT